GCTCACTTTGATGATTTTTACTTTGTAAATAGGAAAGGTGTTTTCAGATTTCAGGACAGGCCTTTCCTTGTTGGATAATTCTTTGTACTTCAGTGTGTTAAACAGAGAAACTGTTCATTGTATAATACAATACTGGCTCTCAAACAAGAGCCTGGAAATAGAAACAGCGTACGTTTGCTCAGTCAGAAAGGAGCGTGGTTATATGTATGTGCCTCCAAATAATGTGTTTGCTGCCCCAGTTATCTGATATAGCCATAGTGAAATGGCCCCTTGTATGGATAGCAAAGTACAAAGCCAAACATGAAAAGTCCACAAAAGGTTGGTCCTTAACGAGATTTGGATCAAATGTGTGCTTTCCTGCAGGCTTCAGCTGGCTTTGGATCAGACTATGCAAGTGTTCAAAATGGAGACTAATGTTTTGGAAAGAAAAATGTGAAAATCAGCTGATACTGAGTTGTTTATCAAACATGTATTGCTGGATAGACAGCTTACTGTAGGTTTGATGCTGGAGAAGTCATGTCTCCTTACTTTCTTGATTAATAAAAAGGAAATTATACCAGCTTCTTTTCCAGCAGCCCTCTGGAGTTTGCTTAATGCTCAGTAGAGTGCTGTGATGAAAGATGTGTGGTTATAAGCAGTATGTCATTTAGCAGTCTTATTACCTGTGATTTAATAGAAAGTATATGACGAAATGATACAGTATGTTTTTAACTCAGCAGTGACTCAGACATGATGGTGATCACAGCATGTGATTTGTTGTGGGTGGTTTTTTTAGTGGTATCTGCATGGGTAGGACTGGTTTATTATTTCCTATGTTGACTTGATATACCTGATACTTAGACTGAGTCTCTCTGTATATGCATGTTTCTACATAAAGCTGGGGACATCATTGATTACTGTGGTGCTGATGCCATGGATGAAACTTGTGAGAGTCTGGTTCTCTGTTCTGAGGTCATCTCCAAATCTGCAGTTAACCATTCTCAGTCATGGCTCTGCCAGCAAGTGAATTCAACCAACTGGATTATTAATGCCATGAAACAGTCCTTCAGAAAAAGCTGTTGGTGACTGTCACACATCTTCAGAAATACATTGCCCTGAAAAGAAAGAAGATGTAGTGTTGGAAGAAGTTATCTGCCTGAGCTGCCCACACCAGGACAGACATATATTAAGCACTAAGTTTAGAAAAGCATTCAGAATCCAAACACCATGAGCTGCACCATCATTCTTTATGCTCCATTGTATTGTTAGGACATACATAGTCATAAAGGATCAGAAGCCAGATTCTATCAGCTTTGGCACAAGTATAAGTCAGGAGCGGTGCTGCTGGCATTACTGTGATACAAGAGGAGACTGCAAAATACCTGTTAGCAATAGTAAAATTTAATTTTATATGGAGGAGGGTGGGTGCCACTGTACCACAGATTTCAAGGAGTTATAATTCTATCTAACCAATACTGCAACACTGTTCATAGTGTTTCATCTCTGAATTAACTCTCCCAAGACCAGTTGTGCTGATGAAACTGGGAATGTTTCTCATTATCATGGAGTGAAAATTTCCATGGAAGTGAATGTGGTGGTCAGCAAGCCAAGTTACATTCTCAGTGCTTTAAAAATCAGGTTTTGCTCACCATTTGTTGTTACCTGGTAAATTTTCCTTTTGCTAATGCTATATGGTTTTGAAGCAATAGCTTTGCTTTCTAAGTTCAACACTACAGAGTTTTAATTGACAGTATGTGATCTGGGGTGGAATGACAAACCTCTCATCACTGGTTGTTGATTCAAACACAGTGCAGCAACATGTTGGAATTCTAATGGTGAATGAGTTCCTGCAGTGGCTTAGTGATTCAGTCCAAAGCAGGTGAGTGGCTATCCTACCATTAACTAGTGATGCTTTATTGCCTAAGCAGTAAAGATGCTTTTAGAGCCCACAGACTTGAGCTAGAGTATTCCCATTAGCTTCAGCCTTTGAAGAATCCAAACCTAAAGTGTATATGTTTAATCTCTGATGAAAATCGGGTGAGCCTGTTCTTTTGCCTCTTGTGAGTAAAGTGAAAGCTGCTTTATTCAGGGAAATAATGGTGGTGCTATTTGTAACTGTTAGAAAAGCCTAACTGAGCTGGTTGCTTGAGTGGTGGGAGTAAGGGCAGCTGTGTAACCTGCAGGAAAGCAGTCGGTTTCAGCAGTGAGGGGGCGAATCTCAGAATTCTAGTTTCTTTTTTGTTAGCATTTGCATGAAGACAAGGGTTAATTAGATAGCAAATACACTCAGGAAGCAGCATGCAAGAAAAAATATTTTGGAGGGCTGATTCGACACAGTATTTCTGTGAAATCCAGGTCATACACTTCTCTGGTTTGTATTCTTGCATGTGGAAATGCATGAGAAAGTAAGTTTATCCATACCCTGGATTTGCAGAGTCTTTGGTCACCTTTTAAGAGAAAAAAAAAAAATCATCTAGCAGAGCTAAGTCTCTAAGAAAAATTAAACAGTGAATTTGAATTCTGCAGTCCAGCTTTGCAAAGATAGTATGTGGTTTTGTTCTGTGTAAAGTGATAGAAAGATGAAAGAGGAAAAGCATCAGGTTTTATTGCAAGATACTGAATAGAGGATTCTTCAGACAGGTAGAGGAAATTCTTGTTCTGATTCTGTTTTGATGGGTTAAAGAACAGTTTCATCTCAATGTGTAGTAGAGTAATCTTTTGGATTAGTCTTTGGGTTGAATTTGACCATGATGTATGTGTGCTTCCACAGGCAATTTCAACATGTAACCCTGGTACACAGAAGACTTCCGAGAATAAGTTGTTTGCTGAATGTTTTGGTTGCTTTTATTCTATATGAATTAGTTTTAGGTAGACTTACTGAATGTATGGAGAGGAGTGGGAAAGAGTATGTATTTGATATGGTTAATTATGTTTGCGTACTCAGTAGAAAACAGCTTATAAAATGTGGTGTTGGAAAAAAGTTTAACACCAGTAAGTACTGTGCTTCAAAATGAGTCTTCTGAAAAGGAGTTTTATTTGGTGCCCAGCTTGTTTTAAATAAAAACTCCTTGAATGTTCTGGTGAATATTTACAGGTGGGGAAGGGAGTCAAAGTAGCTACATAAGAGCACCAGGTATATTAAAGTGGGAAAAAAGGTAGTTAACTATAAAACTGTGGATCTAACATCCTTATTGAAAAATGGGACATTGGCTCCATGCCATCTCAAAGTGTGTTAGTCACAAGCTTGGTCTGTGCAGCAGTACTCACCTATTCTTTGAAATGCTTTTACATAAACAGATGACTGCCATAGAGCATTTGAAAGCTGGGGGTTATGGGTCTTAGTAACAAACAACAAAGCTGTAGGGCAAAGCTGTCTCTTTAAAGTGCCTTCATTTCCTGCCAATGACACTTAACTAAATTGTTCCAAGGCTAGTTTTGTTTAAAGTCTTCTTTCCCTGACCTTTGTCAGGTTTCAGGATCTCTGTGTTTGAACATTACTCCAAGGGGTGTGTCAGATATGACAACAGTCTCCTTGGAGTTCATCTCTGAACTTCACACATTTTGCTGGCCCAGAAAGAATGTTTATAAACTCATGAATGGAGTATCCCTCCATCATGCCATCAGCAGAAAGGAAAACAAGCAGTTCTCTGCTGGTTTTGTTTACCTGCTGCTTGGTGGCAAATTGGCTGGATGCTAATCTTTCAACTATTTGGGAGAGGATTTTTTTATGGCACCAGATACCTCTTTGCTTAGGTATGCTTTGTTTTCTTGTAGTGCTTCAGAAAAAAATACGCACCTTTTTCTCTTCCTTTCTGTCTCTCAGCAAAGCTTTGGGCAACTGTCTTTGCAAGAATTCAGTACTTTCCCTACACAGCCTAGTAAAATTTTCATGGACAAGATTTCTATTATGGGGAACAGTCGACCATGATGAGAATTCATAAGCCACTTGATAGGTTAGGATTTTTGTAGTGCTGTGCAAATTTAAAACATATTGTGTTATTTAATTTAAATCATGCACAGTTTGCTCTCTGTCTTTAATCATAAAACCTTCAGCACTAAAACAAGTCTGATTGAGATAGCCCCTATCTACCCTATCACCTACTAATTGCCTCCATTTACTGATTATAATGCTCTTCCACATATATATAAGAATAAACAAAACTCTCATGCAGTTGTTTTTTTTTTTTTCAGTCAGACTGGCTATCAACCGTTCTTTGTTGCCGGAGCAGGTTAAGACTTGACGGAACAACTCTTATGTCTATACTCTTCCTTTTGTAAGAACAATGCCAAGCATTCCCCTGTAGAGAAGATGAGTAGAGCTATAAAGAAAGTGGCAGCTTCACTGTTGCTTTCTAATCATTCTACACAGTCCAATAGAAAATTAAGACCACTACTGATCTCCTGAAAGTTGGTCAAGAAAAATAACAATCTCTGTATAGTTCTGTGCAAAACAGGGATTGCTTCTGTGTGATACTGTTGGTTTCACTCTAACTAGGTTCAAAATAGAGAACAAATATGGAGAAATCTTGCTTGGGGATTTTTTTGCCTGCAGAAAAGAGCACTGAAGCTATAGTGAATGCCTAGGGGCACCACTGGTCACTTCAGGAGCAGTTAGATAAGACATAAATTATCACGTAGTGTTCTGTCTACTAAATTTATACACACATTACATATGGTATGCAGCCACTGTAAAAATACAGCAAAATTAAAAGGTTGGTTTAAAAATGATCTAAAGACAGGAAGATTATACAAGATGTATTGAATTTCCATTTTATGTTAAGAGCCTCTATCTGGGTAAATATTTAAAAAGGACAGAGAAGTTATTTCCTTAATACCTTAAAAAATGACACTTGCTTTTTTTCCTTCAAATGTTCAGCAGGTTAGGGGTTGGATGGTTTTTAAGGCTATCTTGTTATGTATTTGATTTTCAGCTCATAATTACTAGAAAATTATGGTAAAACAGTAACAGACAGGGCCCAGTTTGAGTTTACCACTAATGTATATTGTTTTCATATCCTTAGGCACATGAAGCCTTTTGGGAAGGCTTTCAAGAGGAGGAGCTAGTAGACTGCTCTGAAGTTGATAAAAGCCTCTCTGAGAAAAAGAGCAGGACCTGGAGGACCTGTGATAGGGAACAACTGTTTTCAGATACCTGCATTAAATCTCAGCTGTTCTTTTCTGCCAGCCGCTTCAGAGCAGAAGATTAGCAGACATGTCCATAGCACTCAAGCAAGTCTTTAATAAAGATAAGACTTTCCGCCCAAAACGCAAGTTTGAACCTGGAACCCAGAGGTTTGAACTTCACAAACGAGCACAAGCCTCTCTGAACTCAGGTGTAGACTTGAAAGCAGCTGTGCAGTTGCCCAGTGGAGAAGACCAAAATGACTGGGTGGCTGTCCATGTTGTTGACTTCTTCAATAGGATCAATCTCATTTATGGAACTATCTGTGAGTTCTGCACAGAGAGGACCTGCCCAGTGATGTCTGGAGGCCCTAAATATGAGTACCGGTGGCAGGATGACATGAAGTACAAGAAGCCTACCGCATTGCCAGCACCCCAGTATATGAATCTTCTCATGGACTGGATCGAGGTGCAAATCAACAATGAGAATATATTTCCTACAAGTGTAGGTAAGTGTGAGGAAGAAGTCCTAAAGTATAAACTGTCCCTTCATTCTGCATATTAAGCATGTTTTATTCCCACCCTCATTTTTCGAGATTGTGAAATTCAAGCCTTTAAATGCCGGTGGGGAGGAGGAGGGTGTCTTGCAGGAATAGTGTGAAATGTATGAAGTGTTATCTGTGGCTGCTAGATATGGTGGGATTTGTTAGCCTAAAATGTTTTAATTCTACCATTTGTTCCTGGTAAGCCTCTCAGGTTAATCACAAAGGGTGGTCATCATTGCATTATTCGCTTTTTAAAAGCTAATCAAGTTTCGATTACTTTGCATTTTGCCTGGCCACTTAAGCAGATACAGAATTGATGGAAAGCAAAGCCTAATTAGAGTCGTATCCTCTCTTCTAAATGTGTACAGCTATATGCAGTACAAGGCAGTGGACAGGAATGCAGCCAACTTTGCTCTCCCACCCTCTCTTGACTTCCTATCCAAAACTGACAAATTGGGAAGTGAATTATTCTCCAAATTACTCTTTCTAAGAGTATATATAACTCAAAAGCTTTGTTACGGTTTAATCAGACAGCCCATGTAAGAAAGCTGTTAAGGGCAGCGCAATTTTCCTTTTATAATACTATAGTTAGTTCTCCTGAAGACTGTAGCAAGTAGGTGGAAGTATCTTTGTTGGAATAGTTCCCTCCAGATGAGGAGGACTTGGCAGAAGAGTGCATTGTGTAGGTAGACATCCTAACTTTATGACCTGTGGCTGCAGATAATAAAAGACGGGATGTTATACCTTAGAGATGTCAGTGTACTTATGTAATTTTTAGCAGTTTAGTTAATGAGTCCCGATTAATTTCTTACAAGTGGGAAACCTGGAAGCTTGCTGTAAGAAGTGTGAGGTGTTACATTTAAGTACTTGGTCCAGATGAGTAACAAACAAGAAGAATGCTCTTGTGTTAAAATTAGTTCATCTGAATGTTTTGCAGTTTATATGCAGCTAAAGGCCTGCAGCTAACTGGTAGACAGTACACCAAGAGTATGTGTCAACCAGTATTTCCTGACCTTTGAAATACCTTATTCTTGGCCTTGACAGCTATTTCTCTGGACAAACTTGTGGTTTGTTTCCCAGTTCCTATCACTTTTGTTTTCTAGGCTAATTGGTATAAAGAAGTCAATAACTATATGTTCTGTTTTTGGCTGGGGTAGAGTTAATTTTCTTGAGCTGGGAGAGAGTATTGCTTTTACTCTGAACTTCACCAGCACAGCAAGAAGAGGGAGGATTTCAAAGGAAGCAGTACCACTTACTTTGTGTAGTGAAAACCAGGTTTGATTTCTCAAGCATTTCTTGGTTTATGTTTCTTCAGGGTGAATGATTTTTGGAATTGAAGGTAGGTTGAAGGTGCAGTGAAGTATGTGATTTTGCTTTCATTAATATTTCTACAGGCTTTTATTATACCAAGTTTCCATCATGGAGTATTCCAATATTACTCTGCCATTGTAGTTTGCATATGCAGAAAATGTGGTCTGTCTGCAAGCATGGGGAGCAGGTAACAGGTAATAAGCACACTGGCATGCTGATGGGCCTTACTGAACCAACAAATAATCTGTAAAACAAGCTTTCAGCTCTAGATACTCCCACCTAATGTTTGTAGTAAGATACAACTGAAGAAACTTTTATCCTGAAGGCTTACCTATTGTAAGCCTAAGAATGAAATCAGTAAATACCCTCAGTCTACTATTATTCTCCTCCCAGCAGCTCCTGCTGTCATAGATTGAATTAAATCTGAAGAAATTGAGGAAGGGGAAAGACCTGTGGTCCCTAGAATGGGTCTGGATCCTTATACAAGTCAGAACAGGAATGCTTGACATCTGTGAAAAATCTTTATCTCACTGTGAGATAAAGGAGGGAGAGAAGTCTGCTTGAGCTTTCATGGAGTGGTAGACTGCACCAGGCTTGCATTACAGACAGACATGACTGGACAGTCCCATAAAGAGATTTTATAGATACCATTTGGAGCATTATTCCATAGGGCAGCACTTGCATCTGTATTCCATTCTCCCCTCCTCTTGACCCTTTGTTGCAGATACCATAGTGGCCAGCCACACACTTCTTGTCTTCTTGATTCACCGATTTGTGGTATGAAACTGTTGGTAAAATTGCTTAGGATGCCTTAGATCTTAGAATTCAGAAACAGGTGCACACTGCATTGAATCTGACATTCTAGGTACCTGTTCTCTCAGCAAGTCCCTACTTAGGCACCCAGAACAGTCAAAGAAGTTTGGGTCTGTTCCTAGGTAAGTTACTTTTCTTTCAAGGGAATCTTTCCGATTTATTTGCACATCAATCTCCCATCTGTAAAATGGAGATGATAACTACCTGCCAGCCTGTCTGAGTACTGCTTGTAAATCTGTTGAATGAAATGCAGTGGCTTGGCATGTATATTGTTACATGGTTTGCTTTTCACAATCACTCAGAGAGAGAAGCTTTGTTACAGTGTTGGGTACTGTTTGTTCCTACCTGTTCTGCAGCAGCCTTTAGTTAGATGCACCACAGGCTTAGTATTGATACAAACGTTTGTTTTCATTCAGAGAAATTGATGATGGTGTACATGACGATTGTTCATTCTTCAAACCAGTTGAAATAGATTTTTAAAGATTGTATACCAAGATATGAAAACAGAACAGGCTTAGATATGTCCTTACTAATAGTACAACAGTTCTAAAGCACTGAGTGGCTGTAATTTAAAGAGATTAATCTATTGCTTCGAATCTTTGTAGCATATGGTCTGCAGAGAGTTGTTCTGAAAAAAGTGTATGTCCAGTGGATGGGATTTGGGCTGACCTTTCCATTAGCAAATGAGTTTGTTAAAGAGATCCAGAGGGGGATTCATAGGAGCTGTCCACAGAAACCTGAACACATTTTTCTCAACTTAATCCTTTTAAACTTTTTCATTTGACATATCTCTTGCAAACTATCTAAAAAGGAATTTCAAGAACTCTGATTTAAGCACAGCTTTCATTGAGGAGCTACTTTGAAGGAAAATAATTTCATGATAGGAATAGCCAGGCTTGGTGGACTTCGTGCATTGTTATTGTTGTTCCTCTGTGGTTTAAAAAAATCCACAAATGCAGTTGAGTTATAAATTGTTATGGATATTATAGTTAACCCTGTCAGTGTTTACATTGGCATGGTGATCTCTGGCCATTTACCAGTCTCTATACTTCCTGTGGTCTGTGCTATTTCCTCTCTGCTTGCTCTAGTCATTCTGGTCTATTCATTTGCTGGTAAAGAGACTCTTCCTCCAGCCTACTAATACTAAACTGGCTGACAGGGGAAAAGGGAGCTGGTGTGGGAACAGAGGAGCTGTCAAGAATTGTGTACACATGACAAAAACAGGTGCTGAGTATTAGGACCACTTCTTTGTATAGCAAAGCTTTAAGGACTGCCTTTGTAAAATAGCCTTACAGCCTCTAGAGGATTTTAGACATTATTATGTCCTTGTTCTTATTTCCATTATTCTGAATTTCCTTTATACATTTTAAATGGATTTAAGGCATATAAGAGACTGACAGCTCTGGAAACAAGTTCTGTATGTAACCACAGATACACCCTGACCTGTCTCAGCCCTCACTGAATGGGAATGCAGGAAGAGAATGGGGGAGACTTCACTCTTTATGCCTGCTCAGGCCACTCTGGTGAAGCTATCCATATTAGTCCCCAGCATGAATTTTTGCAGCATGCTGGAGTTTTGTTTAGCTTTAGAGTAAACTCTCTTTGTTCAGTAAATACTAGTTGCTCTTCCAGGTACCTAGTAGTCTCACTATTTAAACACTTTCAAGGGATATATATTCCAGGCTTATATGGACAACTTAAATACTCCATAGCCTCAAAAGTTCATTTTCACACACCCTCCACCCCTTCTTTTTTTTATCACTGTGCTTTTTTTGGTAAACAGGCTGAAGAAATAATTTGGAGCAGGAAGCAGTAGATCCTCGAGACAGCTGCAGGTTTTGGTGAACTGCAGTTGTCAGGTTTTACCATATGTGTTTGGGCAGTGTCAAAAAAAGGGAGCTAAGAAAGCAAGCAGCTCTCTACAGCTTTGCTCTCTTCAGGCCCTGATTCCCAGACAAATTCAGTTGCCCTATTTTTTTTTTCTCTTCCTCACTGCAGTGTTAAATTGAGAGTAATTCTGGTTTATTTGGATTTTCAGTGGATGGAATGTTTTTTTCTGTTTTAAGAGTCACTGGGAAAGATATTCAGATATTTAAGGCCACAGGGGATTTTTTCATTTATTCTAATCTGACCTCCAACATAACACAGGCCACAGAATGTCACCACATGATTTCATCATCAGGTCCATAGTTTGAAATGAGAAGACAGAAGACAGAAAGTCCTGCTGATATAAACAAGAACATGAACTTCTTTTCTGACTTGACATAATGAAAAACTTTTCCTAGTGAGGACAGTAAAGCAGTTGAGAGGGACCCAGAGAGGTTGTGCTGTCTCCATCCTTTTGGGTTTTCAAGACCAGGCTGGATAAAGCCCTGGGCAACCTCATCTGATATGATGGCTATATAAAGCAGAAAGCTGGGATGCAGACGTCCCAAAATCTGTGCCAGCCTCAATTATCCTGTAATTCTTAATTCTAATTTCAGCATTGACAGGCTGCTTCAGGAACAAGAGCTAAATTGATTAGAAACCAGTTAAGCAGTTTAAGATGCTGCAATTTGGCATTTAATGGAAGTACAAAATCACTTTTAAGCTATGAGAGTTTTTGCAGAAGAGGATTTAAAAGGTTATTAAGTTACTGTAATCAAATAGCCTGGTTATGGCTGATCAAAATGAAAGTGTTTAAAACCTAGGACTTCAGCTGAAAAATTAATGTGTCTTTAGAAATACACTGCTTGGTCATGCTTGACTAGTGAATTTTGGTAGTTGGCAGCGTCAGACTTCGCACAGAGGATGTGTGTGGCGCTACTTCCAGTACTCCAGGAGGAGCCCAATATGTCACC